TAGTACGAAGTACATCAAGGTATATTAATTATAACTGATATGCCTTTATATCAAGTATATCAACAAGTGATATATTTGATATATCTAATACAAAGTACATCAACGTACATCAAATTGATAATTTGATTTCATCTATTTCAAAATCTATGCTGAAAGCTATTATGATATCTCTTCTATTAATTGGTTCGCGATACATAAAATATGTTACTAATGTGAGGAATCGTTTCTTTTTCTCAATAATCTCATTGAATTTGAGGTATTTATCACATATTTTAGACCAATGACCAGGAGAAATTCTTTTCGGTCATACCTTGCTATATTTCCTTAAATGTTAAAGGTCTATGTATCACTTGAGCTCTTATATTAGATAACCTCCTAAATAAATGTACTAGTAATTGTGAAGGACCATCTCTTAAATGTTCAAATAGTCATTCTTTGTACAGTTCCATCTTGGTTGGGGAAAAAGTTTTTATGATGTTATCTAAAATTTCTAATTTTGACTAAAACTTCGCTTTCAACCAAGAATTCGAAATGAAATTTTCCTATTAAAGTAAAACATAACATATCAACATTCCCACATTTGCCAACATAAACTTAGCTCAGCGGGTAAGGCATCTAGAAGATAGACCCAATTTTATATATCACTAAATCCTTCCTTAAAGGTCGGAGGTTCAATCCATCATCCTCATATAATTTAATTTTATATATCACTAAATCTTTCATATCAGGTACATTAGTGATATATATCAACATTCAAATCAGATACATCAACGATAAATAAAATTGGGTCTATCAATGGTATATCAACACATAAACACATTAGTAATTGAATAAGGTGTATATCATAGGTTCAATAATATATCAATGATATATCAGCACACATATATATAAATAATTAAACAAGCGAAAAAATATTTGGGTTTTGCAAATATAACAAAATATTTGAAGTCTGATTCATAGTTTTTCTAGTTATTTCGATATTTTACCCCTCCAAATTTTCATATATATCAATGGTATATCAAATATTGGTATATTAAATTAGATATCAAATCAATTATATCAATTCTATATTGAATCAGGTGGTAAGGGTTGTTGAGGCCCTCCAAAGTAATTACTGATGTTACTAAATCTAACTTGTAGAACTAGTGAGACATGTCGAATACCAAGAGAACCAATGAAAAACGAAAGTCAATCCTACCAAACTTCCAATCCAAAGGTATGATTTTCATCTAATTGTAATTTTGATCATTCTTTATACAAAATTGGTTCCTTGATTCAAAAACTTAGTCTACTTACTCGTAACAGCCGTGGTAAGTTTTAATTCTCATAATTTAATTAATTTAAATTGAGCATCGAAATTAAATCTGATTAATTAATGAACTGGACACGATAGTGTTCCATATTAGTCAAAGAATAATGAGAATGACTAAATCAAAATAAATTAATTTGAGATAGCTGCGAACACTACAACAAATATAACTTTTAATGATGGTCAAAAACAAAAACACGGAAGAAACGATGACGGACATGTAAAAAACGTACTTAAAATTTAATTGGGAAAAAAAATTTATCTTTCAATGTCGGGTCTGGCCCGACATTGATTCTGCACTATTAATGTCGGGTTTGGCCGGACATTAAAAGCCCAGATTAATTTTTAAAAATTAATTTGGGCTTTTATCTTTATTACCCAATGTTTTGTTTTTTGTTTTTACTCTCAGGCTCTCTCTCACTCACGCGACCCGCGACCACTCCTCTCTCTCACTCGACTCACAACCTCCACGACCTAAGGCAAACGGCGGCATTTCTTGCAGCTTTCAAAGCGGCAATCGAAGGCCACTCTGGCGGTGCGAATGACATCACGATCGGTAGCTATCCGGCAGTGCGAACAGTACTTCACTAGTTTCTGGCGAGCAGATTCCAGATCGAAACAGCGACGAACAACGAACGAGGCTTGATTCTTCAGCAGGTTCGGATGACATTCGAGGAGATTCCAGATCTGAACGGCGGCGAGAGGAGAGAACTATCCAGATCTGAATGACCGTGACAGTCGATTCTTCAGTAGCTTCCGACGACGGGTGAGAACAACCAAGATATGAACGGTGGCGACCCTACGATGTAAAGTTGAGGTGAGCTCCGGCGACTAGATTTGATTCTTACACAAAGCACTGCTTCCTTATTTCATCGACGACGAGGTATATAGCCTTCTCTTTTTCTTGCTTCATTGTCATTGCTGGAGAATCGTAAACTTTTATTTGGTTGCTGAAAGTAATGTTGAAATTGATACTTATGTTAAATTGGACAGTGATTCATGGAAGAAAAATTAGAGGTATCAAATAGTTTTGCTGAGGGTTGAGAAAATTTTAGAGAAAATAATTAGTATTTGATACGCATTCTAGTGAGGAGATTTACCCAGAGTCCTATGGTTCAATTTAGCTTCTACGATAATGGAAGAGAACATGAACTTAGTTACATGGAAACAACTAACTCTGCAATTTATTAATTTATTTTGATATTTTTTGTTGTCATCTTTAGGAGTTTAAGAGTACACCTGGTGAACATGTATTCTATGGTGATGGTACAGATGAAAAGATATATACACCTACCGTTGCGCTCAATGCTAAAAGCTCATTTACTAGTGATTATGGATCTGTGAACAACTTTTTATCATGTAAACCATTTATCTTGTCTAGTTTCATTATTCTATCTCACAATTGTCAAGAAGATTAAGTCGTCCTAAAAAATCTTGAGCACTTTCCAATTTTAGAATGTTATTTGTGTTCTATGCAAGCAATTCAGATGGTTGACTGATGATATAATTATTGAATACAATTGTTGAGGAATTTTCTGTTGCTATTAGTTGTTTACTTGCACTCTGAGGTATTTTTAATGGTGTCTTAAATTCTTTAGATGGGAACCAGTATTTTATCTACAAGTTGATAGTATGTCTAATATCACTAAAAAAGATACCTTTTGGTTTCGTTACTTTGGATAACTGAACATGTGTAATACATTCCAGTGTTTGGAGCAGGATATTATTTGTCTTTATTGCTTTGTCCTCCAACTAATTGTACTTTTGTATTTTTACTAGCAAATCTGTTACTTCTTTGGCTTAGTGCACCAGTGGAAATGTGTTGATATTTAGATATGAGGATGGAGCAAGCAGAGTTTGAAATACCAGGACCAATAATATCGTTCGTGTTCTTAAACATTCAAAAGGTTTAGACTTATCGTAATGTTCATGCATAAATATCTATTATTGCACTATAAATCATGTTTTAGTGTTCATGTTATTTCTTGAATAAATATATTTTTTCACTTTGTTTCTTTTATAAACCAGATATTAGCAACATTCCTTCAATGGATATGTAAGGAATATTTTTGTTGCAAATAATTTTATACTTAGCTGAAGCTTTGTATATACGATATATCTTTCATTACTCGTGCTAGATTTTTGTCTTCTGCTTTGTTTTGTAAGTTCTAGTCGTAAGAGATTGAAGAACTATTTTAATAAAATAAAGTATGTTAAGAAGCTATAGTACCCTTTCTTTATCTTGTTTTTTTCTTCTATCCAATTTTATAAACTTCATTTGATAATATCCTTTCTTGGTACATTCATTTATATGGTTTTCTGCATATTAATTTCATCCCTAGTTACTGTATTCAGCTTTTGATTACTATGTCCATGACTTGAATTTTTATTTTATAGACTGAGTACAAATGCAATGCTCGTCATTAAAAGCCGAATTTGTTGTAGTGGAGTTAATTAATTTTGTCTATTTGTTTCCCTAGAGTCTATTATGCATGCTATGTAAACATGAAAAAGCCATAAATACACACACATAAGCCAAGTCCTTGCTACTTATTTCAATAATCATTCATGACAATTACGGATCACAAACTCATGGGTAGCAGTAAAATAATTAATATAAATTGTTCATTAATAATAAGAACAATAAACAAAGAATACTTGAAAATGGAGAAATCTATATCTAACTTGGACTTGAATCACCCTTAAGTTGGATAAAATTAAAGTCTAACCATTCATGGTAGTGAGAGAAATTGAATTTAGGAGGAGAGAGTGTTGGTTGAAACTTGGATCTTGGACCTTCCAATAAGTCACCTCTATTTATAAAGATTAATTTTATCCTCTTTTAAAGAGGAATTATCTCTAATAAAATATTCTTTACTAACTGGAAAGATTTTATTTAAAAGAAAACAAATTAAATAAAAAAGTTCTTAATCAATTTAGGATTATGTTTCCTACTTTGATTATATCTCGTTATTTATAAAATATCCTAAATATCCATAATTCTCAATTTGAAGCGTCCTGCCATAATAATTGTGTCTGTATTTTATCCGTTGAGCTATCCCCAATTTGATGAAGTCCACATTATCCCCTAAAATTAAATTATTATTCTTGAATATCTTTAATCTGCCACAAAATGATAAATTATAATTAAATTCAAATATTTAAACATAATAAATTGATAAATGTAAAATAGATATATAAAATATGGGTGTATTTTTCATCTTATCAGTATATATATCAAACATACTAGCATTCATCTAAACCTATATCGTTATTATAACTTATTTACCTTGATGTACTACAACTAGGTATATCGAGTACGACTAATTTACTTTATACGAAGTACATCAGTTATAATTGTGTTGAACTGAGTGTTATTTGAGAGTAAATTAGCCTTTTTTCTATATTGTGCACGGCTAGGACATCGTAATTTTGCCATTTTTGCAAAACTAAAATGTTGTTGCTGATTTTGCAAATAAATTATTAGTCTCTTGCCTTATCAAGATGTGGTAATATAGTCAAAATGATCACCATGCAAATAATTTAAAAAGAAGGTTATGATATGAACTGTGATTCTAAGAGGTAGTCATTATATTTGGTATAGTTCATAAATTTTGTCCAGTATAAAAGATGTGAGGAGCGAAAATTTAACCTCCAATCTCCAGAAAAAGAAGTAGAAGTTTTACTGTAGCTCATGTTTGGTGTAAATAATTCCTAAATCTCTTATTATACAATATGGATCATAATCATGATACATTTCAATTACACAATTGAAAGAAAAAAGATTAGTATATAAAAGAGGCACATTAATTATCCCTAATCTACAGTACAACATGACAATGACCATTAACTATGGCAGGAGTTGGCAAATTTTGTTGCTGATCTTGTTCCAATTCCAAGCCAGCTAATTTCCCAGCTTCGACACATTTCTTGAACTGTGCCATTGAGGCCAATTCTCCAACAGACTCTGCAATCTTCTCAATGCAAGAAATGGAATCAATGAGGAGGGAAGCCACAGTCGCCGCGGGAACTATCTCGAGAAGATCGATCCCATCGTTGCATGGCCCGATCTTCAGTGCCACCTTGAGGTTCTTCGCTGCTGCCTTTGACTTCTCGACGTGGGGATTTGGAAACGTCGGTCTAGTCATCGTTCTTATCGCAGATGCTAGATCCTTCAGAGCTTTGCCTGATTCAATGCTCATTTTTGAGCACGAGTCCTTGAGTTGGTCTCGGATATGTAATGGGATCTGCACCAAAGGGAATAGAAGTTCATTAGTTATGGTCAAAGATTAGTTTTAGTTCATTCCTGTTAGGGTAAAAACTAACATAGTTAGCCAGATAACACACTAGTTCATTTTTGTCATATTGAAAACTAACATAGTTAGCCAGATAACACACTAGTTCATTTTTGTCATATTGTAGATTAAAAAGGTTAAAGAAAACATGTCATTTTATCAAAATAAATTTTCAAAAGATGATAGTAATAAATTGAAACAAGTCTCTCCGAAGGATCAAATGGGGAGCTGTTTAATCTAGTTTGAAGAAAAGTTTCTTACTTGGGTTTCAGTGGTGAGGTAGCCATTAAGAGACTCGAGTCGATAAGCACATTGCCTCGTCAAGCTTCCGATCTTGCGATATTGCTTCCATGGATGGCGAAACTTGAAGCTCCCATGGCCTGGTTCCCACCTTGCAAAGTTAACCAGTGACTCTTCAGTTTGCCTCGATGTCAAAACACTCTTACACCCTTCAACCTGCTTATCTCCTTTCCATTCATCCGAATATCGAGCCCCAAAACCTACATGTGCAAATTAATACTCAAAACTCAGTTTGTTTTAGGCTTAAATTATAAGTCGTTGATATCTCGAACGACAATATTTATTTATATCAATATTCATGGAGTTCCATATCAAAACTAATTGTCAATGAAAGGAATAGCCCATGTCTATTCTTAGCATGTCTTCCCGAGATTGTGGTTCTTTTGGCTCATTGATTTTGGCCGGATCCAATTTTTTGGATTAGATGCTCGTTTGAACGTTTTGAACTCTGATACTATATCAATATTTATAGGGTTCTATATCAAAACTAATTGGCAATAAGAGAAGTAGCTCATGTCTATTCTTAATCGTTCATGTACTTTAATAGGTTGTGAAAAAAAAAGTTTGAATTTTCAAAGTTATGTCTATTTAGTATGTATACGTTTCAAATAACAGGTTCCTAAACTTTTAATCTCGTGTCTAGATTTTCCTAATTAATTCATTTTTTTTATATCCGTGAGTGCCCGACCAGTTTATACGAACATGGAACTAATCTCACAGGACAGAACACATATAGGATATTAAATCTTAGATAGGTGGCCACGATATGAGATTTGAACCTATTTCCTCTAAATTCCTTTTGAATTTCTTTGGTCCCTTTGTACCAATGGACAAACTCATGAAGTTTTGAGAACTATTAGACACAACATTTGAAAGTTTAGAGTTGTTGAGAGGTTCATGGACTAGAACTTATAGCTTAACTAAACTTTTTAAAGTATGTAACTAAATAAGCACTAACAGTAGATCAAACTTATAATTTAACATTTGTCTCATTAACTTATAATTTAACATTTGTCTCATTATCATATAATTGATAAGAGAACTCAAAACTAAGAGTGGACCTTGGAGGAAGTTGCCGAGGAGTTCAACATTGTTGGAGACGAGGGAGTGGAGATCTTCGCCGGCCCAGACAGGGCAAATGAAGATGCAAATAAGAATCGCGATGAAGGTGCCGATGAGAATGGTGAGGGCTCTAGTGTAGGCGACTTGAAGAATCTCGTCATCTCGATAGCCAGAGACTGATACCAAACAGAAGGTCAAGATGAAGATGAGGAAGCCATAGTCATACCTCGCCTTTATTCGAGGGAAGAACCGCACGAACGTTGTTGTTGCAGCTGCATTCACAAATATTACAATCGTATCAATATTATATATATCCTAAAATTGTTATACATTTATCCTAAAGGCCGGATGTTCAAATTCTCATCTCCTACATGGTTAAACCATATAAACTATATGGACTTTGTTGTTTTGGTTAATATAAGAAGTGTTTTGCTTTTGTAAAGCTATGTTTTATATAATAACTATATATAAAAAAATTAGGTTAAATTTTTCTTTATTGTCTAAACTTTTTACGAGCCTTAAACTACCTGTATATGAAAAATTACTTTAGTTCTTGTTGATAATTTATCATCACTTTCACTAGCAACCTGTGATTTCAAATAGTTATATATCCACTTACTTTAGTTCTTGTCGATGATTATCATCGCTAGCAACATGTGATTTCAAATATTTATATATCTACAAAAATATATCAATTATATTGAATGATATATGAAAAATAATGAAAATGACTAAAATGATACTTAAAAGGGATTATAAGTAAAGTTTCTCCAATTTTGGAATTTAAATAATTTACTCTTCCTTCCTTCATAAATTTAAGTCTATCTATCACGACAAATCATGAGTAGGAATAAAATTTTACTATTACATGTTATATTTGTATTTAAAAGGAAAAATATATATTTTATTTGACGTTATAAAAAANATTGAAAGCCTACCGTGTTGTTAAATCCAAAGCTCTAAAGAGCACCACGGTCAATGCAGCAATCTGAAGACAAAAAAAATAAAAAATAAAAAAATAAAAAATAAAAAATAAAATTGATAAAGTAGAAATTTGTACCAAGTAAGAAAACAAAGAAAGCAAGAATAATGGGTTCGCCTTTGTCTGCAGCCAAATCTGCCAAAAAATGGGCTCCAAATCCCAGAGCCGCAGCCGAAAATGTTGCCAAAACTCTGTTCAATCCTCGTCCAAGTGTTGCTCCTGTTTCATAATATTCTATTCAACAACGATCGTAAGAGTGACAGTCACATTACGAGGGAGATCAGAATATATTTACCTACAGAGAACTCGAAGACGACTACAACTGTTAAGATAGCCCACATAGCGGAGGCACCAAAGCCATCATACAGCGGTTCGAAGTAGTAGAACAATGAAACCAAAGTGATGGCTAAGGCTACTTTGAGGGAATGAGCGATTCTTCTCGGATCATCCTTGGCCAGCTTCTTTGTCTTCCTCGCTAACTCACCCACCTTCACCGTTAGTCTCGAGGATTTGGCTCTGAGCCCCTCGGCCCACCGAGCTGACGAAACTCCCTCACTCTTATGATCAGCCATCTCCATAAGCTGAAGTAGCTGAAATCTTTTTTGGAAAATTTGAGAGAGAGAGAGGGGTATGATGAGGTTTTGCTAATGGCGTCTACTCTTTGTTATATATAGAGAGTGAGAGATAGAAGCAAACTATCGCCATCATTGTTACAAATAAATAATGGTGTTTTTAGCTATAATTTTCCCGTTTTTTACTCAAGTGGGTATAAATATCTTTACTTATACTTTAATTGTACATAAATATTCACCTATGCAAACAAGATAAATAAAAGATTTATGTAACGGCTAGTATACGATACAAATTCAAGTCACTTTTTCAACTTCGTCTCTAATTTTTTAAAAGTTGTGATTTTATTTTTGTTCGTTAATATCTAGTAACAAAATGATAATTAATATGATATTAAATTATATTTTATTAATTGAGTTAACAATACTCTTACATTTATCTTTCTAATGGACAGACATACTTATGTGTCTATTTGATCATAGTCTAGCGAGTTAAAGGACATTAATATCTAGTTATATGCTAAATTTTTAAATCTCTAAGCTCACATTCATAGTTTTATACTCGATTTTTTGTTTTTAGTTTTCTATTTTAAAATGCATATCAAATTATATATATAAAAAAAGGAGTTTTCAAAAAGTAACTTTTGTTTTTAAAATAAAAATATATATATATATATATGAAGACCTTACAAATAAAAATCATACAAAAACAAACACAATTTTCAAAATAAGAAAACTTAAAACGAAATGGCATTATCAAATACCGACATCCATCATAACTGATCATTTGAAGGTAAACATATAAAATGAAATCATTAAAAAAGACCAACCTTTGTCCTTGGTACATATTAAAAATTTTCATACATAAAAAATCAAATTAAATCTTTTATAAGATTAATTAAAGGTCAAACCAGCTCCTGCATAAATTTAATTGATCAAGACATTGAAGTAATATCTTCAAAGATTAGATGCTCGAATCTCCACCTCACAGTTCATCCCAACACCGATTGTTTGAACTAAAAATATATATTTGCAAAAGTGAAGAAATATATACATAAAATACATATGAATTTCTTTTTGAAATTACAATCACACGTAAAAAGAGTGACCTACCATAAAGGAAAAAAAGGTAAAGATAAAAAAGAGAACTCAATTCAAACCAGACCGACTTGTCGTGCCTTTGGAAGAGACACGTGTTGAGATTTGTGTGTCCAAAAACGAAGTGTCGGAGAAATTTCAGTGTCGTTTTGTCGCTTTCGATGCCGTTCGAGAAGCTGCCAAAATTACCGTGTGACAGCCAACTACTCACCTGTAAAGACAAAGAAAAGTTTATTTTATTACTATTATTCTCTTTTTTTCAGTCCACACATTCATATTACTTTTTAATCTCTAATTTCTAGGTATTTTGTTTTTTTAATTTTAGTTTTAAAAATTTTGTTAGAAAACATTGGTTGTGACTGTAATGGAATTAGCAATTTAATTTATAACGATTTAGTTTATGCACTTTTTAAATTAGTAATAATTTAGTCTTTCAATTTTTCGTACGTAAAATTTTAGTGTTATAGTTGAAAATTTGAAACGATTTAGTTCCTATCATGAAATTTGTTGTTGAATTTTTTTATATATGTAGATCAATAAATTGATGAGGGACCAAATGTGTTTATAAATTATAAAAACTAAATTATTATATAATAAAAACTGATAGTGAATTTAGATAAGATTTCTCATGGTAGAGACTAAATTGTAACAAATTTTGGACTACATAAACTAAAATGTTACTAAAGTTCCTAGATTAAATTGTTATCAATTTGAAAGTATAGGGATTAAATAGTTACAAACTAAAGTTCAGGGACTAAATCATTATTTTATTAAAATTACACGAACCTACCAATTTTTAATTTTAGTGCCTAATGTTCGAACCTCATTCAAAGGGTATAAATTTTCATTTTTAAACTTTCAATTTCATCCAATTTGGACCATGTACGAGTAAGATAGTATTACAGTTTTGACCCTCTGTTCAACATTTTTCTAATTTATCCACTAATCAACCATTGAATAATTTTGTTATAATTCACAAATTTCAACTGCACAAATTTTATTTTTTGTTCCCTAGACTCCTAATCAATTATGTAGTATTCATGTTTTGTAATTTAACACACATGAGAACCTTTTTTCTAATGATTCTTGAAACACAAAAATTGATTAGAAGATAAAAATTACAACATTTATTTAAGTTTAAGGTAAAGATTGAAACATGTATCTAATTGTTTAAGTTGTAATTTGATAAAATTGAAAGTTTATGGTAAAAATTGTTACACATGGTCTGATTCAAGTAAAAAAAATGATTTTTCCTCCTATTTTTTGCATTAAACTACAAAATTTCAATCTCTATGGTTTGACCGTATTTTTAATTTGGTCTATCTATGATTTTACAAGTTTCAATTTAATTCCTATGATTTTAGTTTAGTTTCAAATTGGTATACATAATATTTAAAAAGTTTCAATTTGATTTCTATGGTTTAGTTTTTACCCTAAAAGTCCATATAGTTTTATACACTTTTTTACTCAGCTCTATACCGGTCATAATTAACATAGTTAACTAAATAAAAAAAACATCAATTTATTGTCACGTTAAATTTAAAATGTGTCAAAAACAGCCTGTGGAGTTACAAAATTACAACTTTTAAAATTATAGGAACTAAATTTGTAATTTGACGGTTATATTATAATTATTTTATCATAATTAATTAGTTAAAAAGTTGCTAAGGAAAAAGACAGTTTTGCACTTGTATGGTTGAACGATGTCGTTACCTAACATATGATTTTGAGTCATCAGGTTCCAGCTAGCTATTTGTGGCACAAATCATTAACAGAGCCATCTGTATCCCACTTTATTATTATCTTTTAAAGCAACTTTAATCACAACTCAATATTTTAATTCAACCTAAGATTTATTCTCTCTTTTTTTTTTCCTTTTCTTTTTATTTGTTGGTTTACGTGTCAAATATTCAAATGTTAAGTCAACTTTCGAAGAAAATTTCCACTAAAAAATTACAGGTAAGAGCGGTATGTGTTGATCCATGATGGAAGCTCCACAGCATGATAGAGAAAATAACAGTGTACTACTGATTCCAACATATTTTAATGTCTAAATCAATAAATAATTCAATTGAAGTATAGAAAAATTGGGATTATGAGATCATACCTTGTACCCAAAGAATCTTCTTAGATTGGTTCGGGTAGACTGACTCAATCGGATCGGTCGACTCTGTTACATATTCTATTAAATAATTAAATTTGTCGTAATCTATTAACTTCTTAAGCTTTCGAAATTTATTGATCGCTTAATGATCATTACTTAACAAATCTAGTACGGTTGAGTGGTTCTATCCGATTAATTTAACTCATGTCGCATTCTCAACTTCAATTTATATAAACTTCATAGGGTAATTTACCCTGTAACAATTTGTTTCACGAGTATCTGAGTTTCCCTGTTTGTATTATATGAATTTGAGCATGTATGAAGATGCACCCATACCAAAGATATTTAAGGTGTATTTTATTCCATCTTGAAATATAAGTTTCCAAGATTTTCATAGCTTCTTCTTTCTTTTTTACTTATATTATTTTTTCATTATTTCTTTTTTATTTTATAATTAAAATAAATTAATCAATTCTATACAATTAAATATATTTATATATTAAATTTACATATAAGACAAACTTTAATTAATTTATATGATATATCAAATTTATTTGGTTGGTAAAAAAGTCTCTTAAAATTATATGAGTAATACACACAGGTAAAAAAAAACAAACAAACAAAGAAACCAATATTATTCCCTCAACTTTTTCTTTCTTTTTAATTTGATAATGTAAAAACGTAATTCAATAAAAAGTTAAAATTGAAATTAGTAGTCAATATTAAAGATTTTATAAAAATTTCATATAAATATATATAATGTATTCTACAAAATAAAATTTAAAATAAATATAAATTAAATCGATAAAAATAAATAATTATTAAATTATAAAAGACATAAAAGTAAAAGTATAAATTAGCTAGCAATTTGAAAACCAAGGTTATTAGAAAAAATAAAATAATAAAAAACAAATGGAAATGGAAATAAGGATAAAATTATATTTTTTAATTAATTGATAAAACTTCAAAAGGGAATTATGATTTCATTTGATTGATTAATTGGTTTGATATATATATATAAATTTTTAATTTGGGCTAAATCAATTAGAAATTTTCCAGATAAGAACGATTTAATATTTTATTTTAATTAAAAATATTTTTTCTTAAAAAAAGAAAGGAAATAGTATTTATTCAAAAATACTTTCTTTTCATTTCTCTGTTGCCTATTGATTTAAATGACACTTTGATTTATTTAACTCTAAGAAGTCTGTTGCCTATTGATTTAAATGACTCTTTGATTTATTTAACTCTAGGAAGAAACTTTACGGCTACTTAAAATTAAATATAAGTAAATTAATAAAATAGAAACTATGAAATAAAATATTGAACAAATTTAGAGATTTACAATATTTATATGAAAAATATCAATGTTGATGGAAATTAAAAAAAAATCATGCAAAACATGAAAATTGATAGAAATTGTTTGAATTAATTTATGACACTTTAATTATAACATAATTATGATATAGCTCTATCATTTTCATTTTTTTTAGTATAACATGTGGGGTCAGGGATCGAACTCGCGATCTCTTAGTTAGAGATATATACCAATTTATCACCGAGCTATGTTCGTTTTGACTCATTTTTACTAATCATATTACGTAATTAGAGAGATGTCAAATCTCAATATATGACCAACGGTTGTAAAACAAGTATAATAATTTCATAATATTAAAATTGTATACCTAGATAAATGTCACAAACGACCAAACACACAATACTTGTGGAGAGAAGCATGCACAACTTCATGATAATACATTAAACTTCAAATTAACTATATAATTAAAACGGTATATGCCTAGAAAGAAATTTAGTAATAGACGAGGAGAGATAGGGAACCAAAAGAGAGAGAGAAA